CACATATTCAAAAACCTAAACGATCTAAATTAATTCGCGATGCACAAGCGTTGATCTTCGACTTTTCATTTTGCCAGCTTTTACTTTTGCTTCGAAATATTTTGAGATCGGCTTGATGATCAGGATGGCTCATCGGTCGGTAACCTTGTGGCGAACATAACTCCTTCTGCTTCTTGTAGAATTGCTCGTATCCGCCGTGCAAGAGATAAACTTCCGGATAATGGAGTGCGGGGTAACGCTCTTTGTTACGTTCTCGATCTAAGCTTCTCAGGAATCGTGAGAGATTTGGACCCCGTTCCCACGAAAATTCACAGTGAAATACTAAGATATTTCTCTTATTCGTGTCCGGTTGAATTTCAGGTGTACTCGTTAATGGATCTAATAAAATCTCTTCGATTAAATCCTTGCTGTAAAGATTTAAAGCATTCTCAATGTGACCAGCATCAAACTCGTACGGATAACGGCAATCCACGATTTTGAACGAATTAATTTTATCGTTGAATTCCCCGCGTATTAATGCGGCCAAGGTGTCCACCGAGATTGATTTCAAGTCCTCGTGATGTCCAACAGCCAATGGCAGGATACATGGCTTACTAAAGTCTCCGGTAAGATCGGCGTCTGTAGTACTGCGATGAATAGCCGATTTGATGTACGCGTGCATTTCTGATTCCGATGATTCTGTTGCTGACTCTGTCTCCATTTTCACTTCCACTTCAGTCTCTGTATCTGTTTCCATCTTCGTTTCCATTCTCGTCGGCACCGTTCCCATTACCATTTTTGACGTGGAAAAACTCTTCTGCAACGACTTTGGCTCAAACGTTTCAGCACAGCCTTTAACGATGTCAAGGAAACTGGTACATTTCCGTAATCTCTTGACTAGTTTCGGAGTTTCGATCATCGGCGAATCTTGTCGTTTCAAAGCACGAGAAAGCGGCGAGTTGAAAGTGTTCGCAGCTACGTTTCCATTGACGAGATTGCCAGCAGCTCGTCGACGTCGAGCTAGGGGTACTGTCGGCGATAGCGGGCTAACACCATCGAATGCTAGATTCATGGTTGACGAGTTCGCGTTCGAAGAACGAAACAAGCAGGAACGCACTTTTGAAAGTGATAAGTTTGTCTGATTTTTCTGCGCTGCATATTGCAACATCAACGAGCGTCTGAACCCGCTTGCTTCGTTGTTCGTCGTGCGTGGAAATTCAGGCGTCGTCTGATCACTTATCAATGAGCTCGAAATCGTGATCTCGTCGACGATGTTGCCGCAGATCAAAGTAGACATGCCATTCGGTAGCAGCGCTGCCTCGTCCGAATTCTCATCTAGATCGTTGAATCCATCGTCCATGCTCTCGTAACCGGATGAAAGACTTCGAATGACTTCCTCTATGTCTGGTGACAATCGTACCGGCGATAGCCGTATCGACGATTTCGTCGGCGTCCGAGATTCGATAGATAGTTGACACGAATCAATGACAAGGGGCTCCGCGAATCGAATTTTACACCTCGATTTCTCATCTTTCTCGATGTAGCACACTTCATATCCGCTATCCTGGCTATTTGGATCACAATCTTCTAACGGCTGGCGAAGTCTCCTTGCGTTGACAATCTATCACACATCAAAATACAAATCGATTAAATTTGAATATTTATCTGTAATTCTATCTTAAATTCTATTCTACATTAATTCTGATCTTTGATGTTTGATCGCACTTGAAAAAAAAATTTAAGGATCGGTCCGGTAT